CTGGCCCCATCCTCCTGACACCCACCCTTTCAGTATTTATAGGTGTTGATCAGATCCCCCCTCAGCCTTCTCTTCTCCAGACTAACCAGACCCAAGTCCCTCAGCCTTTCCTCATCAGAGAGATGCTCCAGGCCCCTCATCATCTCTGTAGCCCTCTGCTGTCCCCTCTCCAGCAGTTCCCTGTCCTTCTGGAACTGGGGAGCCCAGAACTGGACCCAGTGCTCCAGATGGGGCCTCCCCAGGGCAGAGCAGAGGGGCAGGATGACCTCCCTCCACCTGCTGGCCATGCTTTTCCTGATTCACGCTGGGAGACCATCATCAGCCTTCTTGGCTACAGACACACATGAGCTACATGGTCATGAGCCAGCAACGTATGTGCTGATGCCCTCACTGCCCTGGGGTGGGACTCCCCAGACACCCTCAGGTTCTTCATCAGCTGCGTCTGGCAGAGCCAAATCATCTATTTCTTTCTAGTATCCCTGGGTTTGACTTTTTTAGGTCAAAGACAGGATGAGAGGGTTCGAGAAGAGAGATTTACTCGTGAATTGCTCCAATTTTCTACTTTTTTTGTTATGCTGGTTGCCAAGTGTGGTTTTGTTTTGTGAATACCCGCCTTATATACAGCCCCCTTATAGTGGGGTGTCTTCAGCAGCGACCCCAGACCCAGGATCACAAGTAATAACGGTATCTATTTCCAGCGGCAGAGAGATTTACTGCAAAAACTGTCACAAATGGTCCTGGCAAGGCAAATTAAATTATTATTGCCTCTTTCTTTATTGAATAAATGTGTTTAACATCTTAAAAGAGTTTTCCATTAACGTGAGGTTTTGGTACGTGCCAAGAACTGGGACATAATTTTTAATTCTCTCTGACTAACACTTTGAAATGGAGCACTTTCCCCTGCTGTACCGCTATACTGTTGTTTATTTTTCTGTGGTGGGATGTTATGACAATGTGTATTATAAATCTTTCCTGAGGGAGATTTCAGTGACTTACAAGTGCTTACCTGGTCAAAGTGCTCATCTGCAGCCAACAATCCAAACACAAAGTCATTATTTTGAAAAGCAATCACAAGTTAAGTTAAGCACTTCTTAGACGTATGGAGAAAGAGGATAAAAATATCATAAATTAGTTTAAAGATTTTAAGCACAAATCAGTGAGAAGGCTTGGAATTAAACTTTTACTCTCACTACCTTGGATGCAGACAAAATGAAAAGCCATAGCTATGAAGTCCTAACTTTTCTAGACTTGGATTTATTTTTTTGTGCTGTTAATTGGATGTGAGAGTTGGTCCCTACTGGATGTAGCTGCAAAGGATTTCAAAATAAATGAAGTAAATCATCACAAAACTCTAGTGAAGTAACACTCTATCCTTCCTCTCCAGTGCTCTTTATGCTGACCAGAAAGGGACAGAGGGAACTCCTCTCACCCATAGGTTGGGCCTTCAGTGAGCATCACGAGAGGGCAGTTCTGTGAATGGCATCGATACGGGCACCAAAAGCCACAGGCATCTGAAACTGAACTTGCTGAAAAGATTTTAAAGTTATTGAGGTTATTTTGTTTTAAGGCCGATTTGAGCAAACACGATGGTCAAAGTTGTAGACTTCATAATTGTTGGTCATAAGAAGTATCTTAGCCCAGATACCAGTAGAACTGATTGTTCCCATTTGCCCACCAGCCAGCCAGATCCTTTTTGAAATGAAGCATAATTAAACTGTTTTTTTTTAAAGCATTGGAATTGTCTTGTGCAATGAATGCACAATAAGGAACGGGAGAGGGTACAGAGGTTTCCCCATGTGTCTGTCTGTCTGAGCCACCAGGGGGGACTCATTCCTCGTCTATATCATTTACAGCAGCAAGTGTCTGAAAAAAACCCACCTGTTCTTCAACCCGGGATAGAAAGTCACCGAGTTTAGCAGAGAGCATGTCTTCGTTGAGGTTAGAAGGGATTTTATATAAAATCTTGTCCATCTGCAGCCCCTTTTCCAGTCTGCCCATGAGTACACCAGCCACCCAACACTTCTTGCTGATGAGACTCGCTCCACAGCTGTGGACATGGCTTCATGGTTGAAAGAAACCTCTTTTTTTGAATGTACATGCACAAAATAACTCTTCTTTAGGGGCTGCTTCATCGCTCCTTAGTGCCTGTCTCATCACTCCATTTCTTTTTCCAACTACTACAGCCCTCCCAGTTTATTTCAATTTCATTGTGTATTTTACTAAGCAAAAAAGTGGCCGTTTTGAAACAGCGCCCTATTATTGCTGTGATTACAAAGAGGTTTGTGTGGTTTATAGCGTCCTGTTAAACAACAGCAAAAACCCGTGTTGACTCTGGAGATCTGTCAGGATAAGTTGTGGAATTTTGAATTCCCACCTAAAAGCCAAATGTTAGAAGTTTCTCTCAGACTTGAGCTCTGTCAGGCCAGTGAGACTCTTCTTGTGGTCTGTAGAAAGATTTGGAAATACTGAAAAGAATTCTCTCACCATATTAAGTTTTCAAACTTTTATCTTATTTTGTGAATTATTACATGCATTAACTCATTATTTGGTACTTTTAGGTAGTTTTAATAAAATTCTTGCTCATTCCCCTTCTTCTGGGCACAATCAGTCACGTTTCTGTACGTGTCGCTGTTCCTAAATTAGCTCCTCCGCTATATGTTTGAACTTCTGAAAACAAATTTCTTAACCTTTTGCTAATTTATCTGTAAAATATGTAAAATATTACCCTGGTGTACACAGAAACCGTTAGGATAGAAGCTTTTAGACACTGTGATGGGAGATGTAATTTATTAAATTATGTTTGTTGTAGGTAATTTTTATCGAGTTTCCTGCTTAGCACAGAACCAAATATTTTCCTCCCATATTTTATTATATTCATAAAAAAATGTGTTTGTGTTTCCTGTCAGTTAGATGGTGATTGTGCTCTCTTGAATGAAGTATTAGGCTTTTTGGTCTTTTTCTGTAGCTGGAACTTGCAATATTGCTGGGTTTGAGCAGTAAAATCTGGCCTGGGTTAGTCCCTGGACTTATATAATAGATACAGAAAAAATATGCTATTCTTTGTGTATTGCACTAACAGACAGAAACAAAGGGGGAGTATCCAATACCTAAAGTTCTTTAGGAATTTTTGTTTTAGTATTTCAATTTGAGTACCAAAAATCTGCAATCTGGACTGTTTTCAACATCCCAGGTTAAAACTGGGCTCCAACCCTATCTCCAGTGGTGACAGGTAGATTGTGTTCTTATGGAAACTTCTCACTCAAAATTCAACAGCTTTTGCTATTAACTGCCTCGTGCTTGGTGTCCGCTGGGCCTGATCGTTGGTGTCCACTGGGGTCCATCGTTGGTGTCCACTGGGGCCCATCGTTGGTGTCCACTGGGGCCCATCATTGGTGTCCACTGGGCCTCATGTTTGGTGTCCACTGGGGCCCATGCTTGGTGTCTACTGGGCCTCATGCTTGGTGTCCACTGAGGCCCATCCTTGGTGTTCACTGGGGCCCATGGTTGGTGTCCATTGCGACCCATGCTTGTTGTCCGCTGGGGCCCATGGTTGGTGTCCACTGGGCCCATGCCCATGCACTGCACGGGGACACTAGTCAGTCATGAGCTCTGGACTCCGGGGCAAATCTTGCAGCATTGCTTCTCCAGCAGAGATGGTGAGAAGAAACACGGGAGAAGGTCACAGATGGAGACTGGGGTGGGGAATGGGGGACTTATAAATTGTAATTTTATGGATTTTTAAGATTATTTTCACCAAGAAGCATGACTGTGAGAGATATGGCTTTGAAGATGGTAGCTGAGACCCGAACGTCAGTGGTTCTACTCAATAATTTATCAGGTGGTTGCCTGCAGCTCCCGTCCTCACCTTTGCTGGGAAATACATCATCTTGTTATACTTCTCCAGGGTGCTTCTAAAGTGTGGTGAGCTTCCTACAAGATTCATTCTGAAACCTTGTGAGCTGTGGACTACCATATCAATAAAAGAGTGGCCTTATTGACTACTGTATCATACAATCAAAGAATGGTTTGAGTTGGAAGGGACCTTAAAGATCATCCAGTTCCAACCCCCTGCCCTGGGCAGGGACACCTCCCACCAGACCAGGTTGCTCCAAGCCCCATCCAGCCTGGCTTATCAATAAGAGTGGACTTGTCTTTCATAATCTGTGAATTTTTCTCTTCTTTATTACATACAGGAAACTGCGAGTGTTTGAAATTACGCCTTAAGAAATGCTACATCTGATGAGTCAACTAAACTTGCCCTTGACGTGTTTCTGGTAATCTTAATTTGACTTCTCCTCACTTCCCCGTTTCACACAGTTTTCTCTTTCGTTTTTCACGCATGGCTTGAGCTGTGCTGTCTGGGGAACATGCAACAACAGAGGCAGGAATTTATTTTTCTCCACAAAATGTACCGTGATGTTAACTGATAGCGTTGGGGTTGGGTTAATTAAGATTGCAGAGAATTTGACCAAATAACCGACTATTCCCTGCAGACATGTGACCGAGGATGACTGTGCTGAATTCTTGTTCCTCTTTCCCCGCAGCAAAGTTTTATTCCATCGAGTACTGAGCAAGAAGAGTAACCATGTTTGGACTTTTTTTTTTCCTTTTATTCACCCCTGGAGTCAGTGAATTTCTTTGTACGTCGCCGGATCTAGAAATGTCGTATACTTTTTGTGGTAAGTGAAAAATAGGTTATTCTTTTCCTAATTTGCACAGGTATTACTGAGAAAATACGAACTTCCTTTCAAATGTGTTTCTTTGGTGGATACAGAAAAATAAAAAGAAGCTCAGCTGGAGTGTATTTCTGTTATTAATTAGCCTGTTATAAGAATTGCACTGCATAGGCATAAATATTACCCAACGCTGGCTGCAGTGGCTGAGAGAGAAGTTCATTCCTAAAGAAAACAGGCGTGGTTTGATCCAGCAAATATCAGAAGAGAAGGGGTTCAAACTTGTTTTGTAGAAATTATCCACATTGATTTAACTCATAGAGTACAATGAAAAGCTTTAAAGGTGAGAGAGTGGTCGGGCATTGGAACAGGCTGCCCAGGGAGGTGGTGGAGTCACCATCCCTGGATGTGTTTAAGGGACGTTTAGATGTGGTACTGAGGGACATGGTGTAGGGGAGGACTTTGTAGAGTAGGGTAGATGGTTGGACTCGATGATCCCGAGGGTCTCTTCCAGCCTAAATGATTCTGTGATTCTGCAAATATATGGGGAAAAAAACCCAAAGGGAATGCGATAATCTTCCAGGCTGGAGGATCAGGTGGGCTCTTGGACACAGCAGCGTGTCCCTTCTTGTCATGTCTGTGTCGTGGGACACTGGGTCTGAGTTGGTCACTGAGATTTTGGGGCTGTTCCACAAGATATGGGGGAAAAGAACCCAAAGGGAATGTGATAATCTTCCAGGCTGGAGGATCAGATGGGCTCTGGGACACTGCGGCGTGTCCCTTCTTGCCGTGTCTGTGTCGTGGGACACTGGGTCTGTGTAGGTCACTGAGATTTTGGGGCTGTTCCACAAGAACTTGGCACCTCCCTGATGGCAAACAGGCTGGATGTACCCGTGCAGGCTCAGTGGCCAGAAGCGGGGTTTGGAGGAGATTTTTCACAAGGAAAGGCCCGTGTCTTTTGAAAATCTTACTGAAAATCTTACTGAAAATCTTACTAAAAATAATCTTACTGAAAATCTTGGTGTGCATTACTAGCGTGTATCACCTGTAAGATCGCTATATAAACTAAGGCACAAGAGGGGGTGTTTACTGCGGGTACTTTGCTTTACATTAATACTCACATAATAAAAATTTAAGGAGGTTACGAGTGGCGGTAGTTCAGCTTGCAAACCAAACCCCGGAGACCACAGGGAGTTCTGTTTGCCCTTTTTTAATGTCGCAATTTCCCGTGTGTGGCTGTACCCGAGATGAGACACTGCCTGCTGGCCTCCCCAAAACACCAGGCAGAACCCCTGGCTGTAAATCACCCTGGCTCCCATTTGCTCCCCTTGGATTAGCAGGGGGAGCATCCCCCTGCCCCAGCTGGTCCCCAGACCCCCGGCAAGTGGGGCACTTCTTCAGCAACAGCGTACTCAGGAGGGCAGAAGCACGCTGGGTTGAACAGACCTCTTTCCAAAAATAAAAATAAAACCTAAAAAAAAAATACAAAAAATAAAAATAAAAAAGAATAATACAAAATTAAAAATAAATACCAACCACAAAGTTGGTATTAATCCAAATCAAAGGATTATTTTTTTTTAAATTAAAATGTCAGCTAACAGGCTCTAAATTTGCTGAGACCCAGGTTGTATGGTGTATTATCATAGAATCATAGAATCGTCTAAACACCAGGCAGAACCCCTGGCTGTAAATCACCCTGGCTCCCATTTGCTCCCCTTGGATTAGCAGGGGAAGCATCCCCCTGCCCCAGCTGGTCCCCAGACCCCCGGCAAGTGGGGCACTTCTTCAGCAACAGCGTACTCAGGAGGGCAGAAGCACGCTGGGTTGAACAGACCTCTTTCCAAAAATAAAAATAAAACCTAAAAAAAAAATACAAAAAATAAAAATAAAAAAGAATAATACAAAATTAAAAATAAATACCAACCACAAAGTTGGTATTAATCCAAATCAAAGGATTATTTTTTTTTAAATTAAAATGTCAGCTAACAGGCTCTAAATTTGCTGAGACCCAGGTTGTATGGTGTATTATCATAGAATCATAGAATCGTCTAGGTGGAAGAGACCCTTGGGATCAACGAGTCCAACCATCTACCCTACTCTACAAAGTTCTCCCCTACACCATATCCCTCAGTGTCCCATCTAAACGTCCCTTCAACACATCCAGGGATGGGGACTCCACCCCCTCCCTGGGCAGCCTGTTCCAA